GGACATCACAAAAAGCCTCAAGAAAACCACTTACACTTTATACTAGGCGACTTTAATGCAAAAATTGGCAAATAAAAAGTAGCTGATATAATTGGAGGATACACATTAGGCACACGCAATGACAGGGGTGATACAATTTTGCCAAGATGAATATGTGGTATCAAAGACCTGGTTTGATACTACTTACCAGGTGAATCTATACATGGAAATCACCTCAAGACAATAATTAAAAGATCAAATGTGTTAAAGTGTGTAAATCAGTGTCAACAACGGCTTAAAACTTTTTTTTATGTATATCTTATTCATATACACATTTTTTACTTTTAAAGGGTGTGTACAGCTAGTTTACGTCCGCAGCAACGTAAGCATTTCACAAGATTCCTGGCAGAAAGAAATCACAGTTTTTATAGTTGTTAAAGATGCCACTGCTAACAAACGGACCTTCTAAAAACCTTGACAAAAGAACTAGGACCCAGTGTATGAGTTTGCCAACTTAATATAGGAAGCATCAGTAGACCAAAATGCCCAATTTTGCACAGATTTTTTAAACAAAACGATATAAATAAGCGCAGTACAAGAAACACATACAGAAAGCAAAGTTCAATTGAGTTCAAGAGAAACAATCGCAAGCTATGATCTACTTGGTGCTACCTAGGATAGAGCCTACGGTATAGCAACCTACGTACGCACAAACAAAAAATGCAGGCTTAATTTTCACTTCTACCAAGAACAACATCCACAAGGTAACTGTAAAAATAAATCAAAAGATTGTAAGGAATCAAATTGATTTCGCTTTGATTAATCATAGATTTAAATCAAGTATTCAGAGTGCAAAAACCTACAGACAAAAACTAAAAACAATACGTCGAAACGAAACAAAGAAGTGTAATATTTAAATACTTGACGGAATGGAATGACGGAAGATATTTTGGAACTCATGAAAAAGAGAAAAAAACACAAAAACAACCCACATCTATATAAAGAAATCCAAAGAATCATAGATTCAAAAATCAAAGAAGCATAAGGAAAGTGAATAAATGAAATGCGTGACGAGATAGAAAACCTAGACAACAAAAATTATACATTCAAACTTTTCTTCTTCTTAACGTGCCCTATCAAGTCCCCTTGACGTTGGCGATTAACATGGCGAAACTGTCTCTGTCTCGAGCTATTCTAAATAGTTGCTCAGCTTTCTTTATTCCTGTCCACTCCCTGATATTCTTCAACAAAGAGGCCTGCTTTCTACCAATTCCTCTGCGTCCTTCGATTTTACCCATCATAATAAGTTAGAATAAGAATATTATAACGGTCTCCCCTTACTACGTGTCCAAAATAGGCCATCTTTCTACATTTGATGTTATCAAGCAGCTCGCGAGCAGCATTTGTTCTCTTAAGGACTGCCACATTTGTCAGCATAGCCGTCCATGGAATTTTTAGTATACGTCTGTGCAGCCGCATTTCAAAGGCCTCCAGACGATTAATGGTGGATATTTTTAATGTCCATGCTTCGACACCGTATACGAGGACTGACCAAATAGTAGCATTTAACCATGCGCTTTCGAAGTTGAAGTTGCAAGTTATCATTACAGAAGAATGACCTCATTTTTAAAAATGTCGTGCGGGCTATCTCGATTCTACATTTTATCTCTTGATCTGGATCTAGTTGTTCAGTAATATGGCAATCAAGATATTTAAAACTGGACACTCTTTGAATTATATGACCATCAACATTGTTGAAAGAATTGGCTTGTGAACCAGACGACATAGAAATAGTTGTAATAAAACTAATAGATGTTAACAGCATAAAACTACTAACACATCTTTTTAACAATATAAATAGATGAAAGTGGCTTAATACCAAAGGGATGATTAATAGTCAGAATTACAGAGGAAGACTTAAAAAATATACTAGATAGAGTTAATAATACAGGTAAAACAGTGGGACCGACAATAAATCTTCAAAATCTAAGGTAACTGTGATTAGCAAAACCGATGAAAATTGTCGCATTGGCCTAAATAATACTAAATTAGAAAAAGTTCACAAATTCATATACTTAGGAATACTACTGAATGATAAGTGGGATCCAGATATAGAGATAAAAACAGAAATAGAAGAAGTAAAGCTTTGGGGTATAAGGACAAACATGAAACAAAAAATTAAGATGTCAACAAGAAACGAGGAAGATAACAAGATATATAAAAAATTAAATCGAAATGTAAAAAGAGAAGTAGTGAAAAGTAAAAATGAGATGTGGAATCCAAGATGTACAGAGGTGAATAGGTGTATGGGTGGATCAAGAGTTGGGCAAGCGTGGAAGGTGATAAAGTCTCTCCAGAGGGAAAGAAAGGAAAAATCTAACTTAAAGTTAATAGATCTGAAACAGTGGAAACACCATCATGAGGCCTTACTGACAGAGGATAGATGTAAATTCCAAGAGATCGAAATGGAAGAAATATCCGAATATTCACAATTAAATGAGATAACAACCGAGAGTTAAGCAATGACCACAAAAGATCGAAAAACGGTAAAGCAGCAAGACCTGCAGACATCTCAATTGAGTTGGTTAAGTATGGACCAAAAATATTATATGAGATGTTGGGTCAACTATTAACAAATGCTTAAAAGGACAAAATATCCCTGATGATTGAAATGTTTGATACATCAGCTCAATATTGAAGAAAGGGGATAAACGCAAATGCTCTAATTATAGGGAAATAACTGTTATCAGCTCAGTGGGAAGGTTGTACGGTCGAATAATAAAAGAAAGAATAGAATCAGAATACGAAGACATCGAAGAAAAAAATGGATTTCGTACAGGAAGATCGTGCACTGACGATATATTTGTTCTGCAGCAAGTAATCGAAAAACGGAAGGCAAGGAATCTATCTACCCACCTATTGTTTGTAGATTTAGAGAAGGCATGCGATACGGTACCTTTGAAAAAACTGTTTAAATATGACGAAAGTAGGTCTCAGTAGAGAGTATGTGGATGGTATTGCAAATATATACAAAAATGCAAGAGGTGTCATTAAAGAAGGAAACTTTATCTCCGAATCATTTCCAATAACAAATGGGCTTAAACAAAGATGTTGTCTATCTCCGACCTCATTTAAAATATATATTCAATCATCGCTAGAGCAGTGGAGGAAACAATTATCAGGAATGGGAATAGACATAGGCAGTGGTAAATGTCTAACAACTTTATTTTTCGCAGATGATCAGATAGTCGTACCGAATAATGAGGAAGACATGGACTGCATGTTTAGAAAACTAAAGAAAGAATATGAAAAATGGGGCCTCAATATGAATACGTCAAATACAGAGTATCTTAAAATAGGAGATGATGAAGAAGATCCACAGTTAGAAATTAGAAACACAAAAACATGCAATGAATATAAATGTCTCGGATCTATAATATCTAAAGAAGGCACTACCAAAAAAGACATCGAAAATAGAACGCAGCAGGGAAAAAAGCGGCAAACATTCTAAACTCTCTACTATGGTCTAAAGATATTAGACACAAAACGAAATTGACAATCTATCGAACCTTGGTAGACCCTATTATGACTTATGGGGCAGAAGTTTGGCAGATTACGAAAAAATGTAGAAAAAGAATAGAAGTAGTAGAAATGGATTTTCTAGGTAGAGCGTGCGGTGTATCCAAAAAAGATCATATCAGAAATAAAGATATTAGAAGGAGGACAAATTCTGTATATTCCAGTGTAGGCAGAATTGAAACCAGACAACTAGTGTGGTATGGTCACGTGAAGCGAATGAATGAAGATATATGGCGAAAGAAAGCTTTAAATTACATACCACAACAAAGAAGAAGAAGAAGAAGGGAAAGGTCTTCAGTTGCCTGGAAAGAAAATGTACGGCTAATGAGAGATAGATCCATCAAAGAAGACGAATGTATGGACAGAAAATGATGCAGGAGGCGGCAGAGACTGTAGGAACCTCGCTTACATATATATACATGTACAATAAATGGAAACAAATTATCTATAACTAAAGCTTAGACATCCGAATTAGAGTTATTAAATGCTACGTTTGGTCAGTCTTTCTGAATGGAGTCGAAGACTGTACATTAACATTAAATACCATGAGACGGCTAGAATCCTTTGAAATGTGACTTTATCGCAGAATACTCAGAATATCACGAACAAAACACATTACGATTCGAACACTATTAAATACCATAAATAGAGAGTTAGAAATTATAACAAGGATTAGGAAAAGAAAGCCCTCGTACATATGCCACATAAAGAGGTGACAAATATAATCTGCTACGATTAATAATTGAAGGGAAGATAAAGGGCCGAAGAGGAGTAGGCAAAAGAACCATGTGCTGGCTTCGCAATATCGGAACTTGAACGGACATCAACTTTCAACAATTACTAAGAGTGAGGCAGATTAGAAAACGTTTTAATGTAGTGATCGCAATCTTCCAGTAATGGAGTGCACCTGAAGAAGAATGAAAGAGAGGATCATTCTTTAGGTGAATGGAAAGTATAAATGGAAATGAACAACAAACTTTTCCAACTGGAAAGATAAAGCTATAAATAGAAAAGCCAAAAAATTACATAAAGAATCATGAAAGAAAACAGGAAGGAAGACATTTACACATTATAATTAATTTATTGATATTAATGGAATATTATAATAGATTAAACTTTATGCATGTCTGGCCTACAGAAGTAAGTATGTAAATAAAGAAAATATTTGAGGCATTACTTACAATAATAATTATTTTATTACCTTTTCTATTTATCTAGTCTAAATATTTGGGTATAGAATTTGCATTTATATGCATATTGTGCGACAGGTATTGCAAATTCTAGTTTCTAATTTTATTACAGTAAAATATACTCAAACTGATGTCATGACGAATTATTCACATTGTATGTAATTAAAATCATTTAAACTAAATTTTCGACGTATTTTGACAGATATTAATACAGTACAATAAAAATATTTCACTATTGTATGGTAGACTTACCCCAATTTTTAGGAGTTCTGCCGAGAAACTGGTTAGAAGATTTATCATAAATCGCCTGTCGAAAGGTTTCCCATTTAGTCCTGTTATCCGGTTGATAAAACTGAAACTCGACTGCACCGTTATCACCGTCCTTTCCCGCAACGGCCATTTCGACAAATCAAATTTTTAAAACTTTTGACACTACACCACCAGCCAAAACAAAACACCAGAACTGAATAATGATGCTGTTGCTGGGCAACGGGGCTATTGATTCGCTGTTACTTCTCGGTTTTGGAAGAGTGCCGCGAGTCCACGCGAGACGTGAGCGCTCTGAGAGGGCTGTCTGTGTATCTCGGGATCGCTCTTTCAGGCGAGTAACTTCATACCTACTGAATTTTAGGTTTACGTATGCGTGTGGGAAAAATAAAAGATAAAAGCATAAAACTCGCCGGCGTGCGGTAGATGCATGTGTTTGGTTTGGTGATACCTTTAGCCGGCCATCGATAATTGTGAAGGTCTCGACATTTTTCGTTTATCCATCGGTTACCGAACATTTTTAATAACATGCACACATCGTTCTGTGTTCTATGATTAAAATGCATACAGGGTGGAGCGTTAACTCGAAAACCAGTGAATTTAAAACCATGGAAGGTATCGCGCAAATTAAAACTATTTTATAAATACAGTAATTGGCGGTTTTTTACTATGGGGGACAGAACATATTAAAAAATTTGGAAAATACAAACAAAAATAAGAACATTTATGGTTCTGAAACTTATTATCTTCTGGCATTTTTGTATTAACCCTCTATTCAACGGCTGATAAATTTTTACACCTTATGGATATTAAGGTGTATGTGGAACAAATACAAAAATTACAGGACTGGATACTTACCCTGTGTAGAGAGTTATTTGTTTCACATATATCAAATTTATCTTCTACCTACAATACCAGTATAAATTTCTTAGCTGAATTGCTCATCTATCTTGGTGAATGTTTATCAAAAGTTCTTCAATATCTTCTTTTCATATAGTAATCTCTTATTTGATAGTAATTCTAAAACTAAATGGTTTTGAAATAGGTAGTCTACGGCATTTTCTGAATTTCTCATTTGGATTGTTGGGTCGGTAAACTAGAAAACTATTAATTTCTGCACTATTGAAAAGGCAATGAAATATTTCTGAAGGCTATCGTTTTGTATTCTTTACAACACCATAATATGCAATAATAAGATCCGCTTCATCTACCACTGATTTTGTTTCATTCTTCATCTTCATCAATACGATGATCTCGATGCGATCTAGAAACTACAAGAAAATTGCACTTAGTGGCGTTTTATCTAACGTCACATTTACTCCTGGCGTGAAAATTTTTTTTCTTAAATTGAACTACTTCATTGAACTTCACAGAAATTTTTTTTCGAAACGCTTTAAGTTTATCCAGTTGTTTTTTTGTCTCTAGTCTTAGTATCGTTGATTGATTTCAACATTCGGAGTATGACAGGTAAAGGAAGAGAGCTGGCGGATTTCATGCAAAAGAGGATTAGTGTACTTTGTGTGCAAGAAACTCTTTGAAAAAGTAATAAATCGCGAGATCTTAGAGATGGATGCAAATTAATATTGTTACGTTTTACCGTGGGTTCAGGAAATGTACACGTAGTTAAACTAATTTTATTTAATTCCCTCGACTACAAAACTCACTAAATAAGAAATATCTGAATAATAATGACTGTATTGTCTCGGTGTTCGTTCTTGTTGGTTGGCTTTCTTTGTTTTATGTTTTGTGTCCTGGTAAAGTTCGCGCAAGATGGAAACTAATAAAGAAACAAAAACCTCAACACCAACTATTAGACATCCAATTATTGAAAAACGACACCATACATCAGACAGTAAATAAAGAATTAAACAAAAATTTAGGAAATATCGACCACAATAGAATTAGCGAGTACGATGACATAAACGTTCTGTGGAAAACTATTAAAGAACAAATGAACAATGTAACGGAAAAACATCTAAAAGTAATACCTAGAAATAACAAACAGGAATAGATGACAGAAGAGATTTTACAATTAATGAACAAACGAAGAGAATCTAAAGGAAAACATGACAAGGACGGAGAATACAAAAGACTAAATAGAATAATTCGAAAAAAAAAAATAACCGAATCAAAAGAGAAATGGCTGGAAACAAAATGCGTTGAAATAGAAGAACTGCAACAAAGGCACGATTTTTTTTAATTTACATAAAAAGGTAAAAGAGTTTACATTGACTACCAAGAGAACGATTTTTATATATAAAACTATATTAAAATTCCTTTTCACGACATACGAGAAGAACCAAGATTGGAAAATAACAACGAAGGGCCAACAATTCTGAAATCTGAAATCATAAATGCAATTAATCATCTCAAAACAAATAAAAGCCCAGGCCCAGGCGGAATATACCCAGAAACGTTAAAATTAACCAGCGAAGAAAATATCGAAATATTTGTCCTTTTATTCAATCGCATTTATGATACAGGTAAAATACCCCAAGATTGGCTGGAGTCAATATTCATCCCACTACCAAAAAAGCCAAACCCACAACACTGCAATGAGTTCCGCCTGATAAGCCTTATGAGTCATGCAGTAAAAGTCCTACTAAAAATCGTACATAATCGTATCTATTGAAAGTGCGAAACAATCATCGGAGACGATCAGTTTGGATTCAGAGCCGGCATGGGAACGAGAGAAGCCCTGTTCAGTTTACTAGTTCTCGTCCAAAAATGCTACGACCAACAGAAAGATATATTTATATGCTTTATAGACTTCGAAAAAGCATTTGATAGAGTAAGACACGACCTACTATTAGAACGTTTGCAAGAAGTCGGTTTAGATGGAAAAGACATCAAATTCTTAAAAAACTTGTACTGGAACCAAAACGCCAGAGTTAGGATCGAAGGTTCCACATCCGCAGAAGTAGAAATTAGGAGGGGAGTTAGACAAGGATGTGTTCTGTCGCCTCTGCTGTTTAATCTTTACTCCGAGTTTCTATTTAAAGAAGCATTGGAGGATTCCAAGGATGGAGTCAATGTGAATGGCGTAAATATCAACAGTATCAGATACGCCGATGATACAGTGTTAATTGCGGATTTTGACTTAGGTCTACAACGACTCATCGACAAGACCAACTCGACCTGTGAGCAATTTGGTATGAGAATAAACATTAAAAAAACCAAAGTGATGTCAATCCGAAAAAACCAAAACGTACCTCAACCTTGCACAATAAATCGGCACATTTTAGAACAGGTCAATAGATTTAAGTACCTGGGATGTTGGATCGATAGCAGCCTAAATCCTGATCTAGAAATAAGATCGAGAATAGAACAGGCCAGAAAATCTTTCAAAAAAATAAAAAAACTGCTTTGTGATTCTCAAATAAAACTCGAAATTCGACTACGTTTATTAAAATGTTACGTCTGGTCGACTCTTCTATATGCAGTTGAAACGTGGACCCTTAAAACATCAACCGTAAATAAATCGAAGGCCTTTGAAATGTGGATCTACCGGAGAATACTCAAAATTTCATGAACATCGCATGCCTCAAACGAAGAAGTGCTGCATAGAATAGGCAAGGAAAGAGAACTTTTTACTACAGTACAAGTTAAAAAAACATCATACCTAGGCCACATATGAGAAATAAAAAGTACCAATATGCCCAACTTATAGTGAAAGGAAAAATCGAGGGAAAGAGAGGCCTAGGAAGGAAAAGACTATCGTGGCTCAGAAACATCCGACAATGGACAGGGCTAAATTTTGAACAGCTAATAAGAACAGCTGAAGATAGAGAAGAGTTTAAAATTGTAGTAGCCAACCTCCATTGAGGAGAGGGCACTTTAAAAAGAAGTCCTGGTATAGGTTTTTCACCTCCTCAGGATGTGGTTTGGTTTTGTTTGGTTGGCTTTCTAGCTGTGTGGTTCTACTGGTGGTAGGTTTCGTGACTTTTCGGCGGAGGAGCTTCCTGGGCAATCAGAGGTAAAAGGGTTGTTGAATAAAATCGTCCTTTTCAGAAATTTGTTCGCTAAAAAAGATTTATGAATATGTCAATTTATATGTATACAATTTGATAAATAATAAATGTATTGAATTGCGATTCGCGTGTGGGTAGCTGTGGCTGTAACCTCTGCAATAGGCAGGTATCATTGTACAAAATTATAAATATTTTTAAACTTTTTTCATAAATAGGTAAAGAAATAATAAATAAGACTCACAATCAATTTAATTTAACTATCGAGACGACCAGTTTCGCTTTCTACAATATGCAAAGCATCTTCAGGTCTCGATACAAAGTAAAATAAATGCTGAAATAATAATAAACCCATATTAGGGTGTTGTCTAATAAAGATAAATAAAGTAGGTGTTATAAATTACAGTAATTATGCCAATATTACATGTCTGTGGTTTTTCAAAATGAATAAAAAGGAATAAAAAGGTATAAAAAGTTTTAACAGACAAGGTAAGACCCACAAATTGTTATAAAATAGTCTATTAGATTGTAATAAATTAATAAATGAGCAAATAAATAAAACATTACCTACATGCCGGTACTCTATTAATTCATGGATGGTAGAACATGGTTGAAACTATCATGTATTGTTGAATGGAGAACTTAAGTCTGCCATTGTAGTTGTTTGACAATAAACGGGAAGTTCCTGAGGAGATAAATTTGATCCAATGAAGTAGAGATAGGTGTAATGTGATTGTTTGTAAGATGAAAGTGATGTTCTATACCATTGTATTATTTAAAGAGATATATTTACCATATACAATGGTAAGCAACAAGTAACACATTCATGATTTTTTCATAAACTTTCTATAAATCTTTTCAAATTTTTCATGAACTTTTGTCTAGGGTTACATTTCTTGTACCATACTAATGTAATTTTATTGTATTTTATTATATAAATATGTTGTTTTAAATTAACTTCTTTTCCAGCAAGAGGTTTAAAAGGAGGGAGGTGTCATCGCGTGCCTTAGTCTGTGGACCAATGAGCATGTCCGATGGACTTGGAAATGCACATACCAATATGAAATAAAGTGTATAAAAAGGGTGCATTTTTCAAGCCATGGGTAGTCAAGCCTAGCCTTACTCTGGTCCCCATGTAGGGTGTCCCACACCTGGGGGCCTCCTTCACGGGGCTCTGCTCCCTGGTTGTCCTGAGACTCTTTTGCTAGGACCTTTTTCAAGTACAAAACTGAGTTTTATTTTACCATTCCGTATGAAGATGGAAACGCAGAGGCAACTTCGGATTGACTAACCGAAGCCCTCTGTAGAGCACCTAGGGAGCTGATATGGAGTTATTTCCAGTAAAGACCCAAAACTCCCTATGGTGACATCACCTACAAAAACATTTGTCTAATTC